AAAGGGGTCCATTAAACTTGGTATTACTTTTCAAAAGTGATATAGAAACGTATTTAATAGTCAATGATAATGATAGCTTGAAAATTATTTAACTTAAAAAAAATATTTTAAGAAAACTTGCGTTATGATTTACTATTTGCAAATATACTTTTGTTTCAAAAAAAAATTGTGTCTGGAATTTATTTTTAAATATTTTAAACTTAGAGAGTATAAGGATATTTATTAAATATAGAGATTGAAAACCAAGAGGAAATAAATTATCAAATAAATCATTTGAGAAGCTTAGCAAATAAACTAATGTTGTAAAAGGGCTCGTTTTAAACCGATTTTTAAAAACGACTAACAATATTTTGTCCAGAAAAATATTACGCAAGCCTGAAGATTTTCTCATGGATGGCAAAAGGTTTGACCATCTATTAACAAATTTCGAGTCTTAGGCCATTTTTTTTGGCTAAAATATTGATTTCGCCCTTTCTAAAAATTGGCTCAAATCGAACCGTTTCGAAATCCAGGATCGACTTTTTTAAAAAAAGACAACACTAAAATATACATTCTACAACTAGCATAAATTATGATTTCCCTTTAAAGAATGCCATATTCTTCTCTGAAATTGCCATTCACAGAATATGGGCTTTCTGAATTTTTGGAGAAAAGAGGATCGAACTTCCGGTTCTTTCTACGCTAGTTAAAAAATTCTATTTGTTCCCCTAGCGAAAGTTTTCTCTACCGCTGGATTGACGCTGAATTTAATGAGATTATTCTTATGTCCGGCAAATTTAAATAAAATTATTCTTATACATATTTCTAACTATAAATTCCAAAATTGAGTCATATATCTTTTGTATTTTATTTATAAGTTAATTTAGTTTTTCTTAAAAAAATTAATTAGCAATAAAAAAAATATATTATAAAAAAATTTAAGATGCACCGATTTACGCAGTATTGACCACGGCTAAAAAGCTGCGCGCCGCTGATTAGATTTTTAAAACTCGTGCAGGTCGGGTCGTCCATAGTCTTGTCAAGGCACAGGTCTAACTGTTGCCAGGCAAGAGGTGAAGATTTTAGAATAGGGATTTACTCTATAAAGGATTTAATCTCCTCATCGAAAAAGTTAAGAGTACTATCATTTAAGTAAACCGGAAAAGACCGAAAACCATTGCGATTTTGGGAACTAGGAAAATGTTTTTATTAAGAATACGTAGCGGGGTGATAAGGATTGTAGGAAGGTAGTTGTTGTCTCCTTTATAAAAAAATTATTATTAAAAATTTTTTGTGTTTGATGAAATTGATTAAAAAAATTAATAAGTAAGGAACTAAATATTAACGCAAACCAGATATATAGAACTTTTATATTCTCCGTTCTGGCGTGTTACCAATTTTTTTTCTGGAGCCTAGCAAATCTCTGAATTTTCGTAAAAATTTTAGATATATTTTTTCAGGTTAATATGTTGTGATTAATGATATTTGAAAAATAAATTACAATATTCTATTTTTTTTATTTAAAAAATAAATTACAATATTCTATTTTTTTTATTTAAAAAATAAATTACAATATTCTATTTTTTTTATTTAAAAAATAAATTCGTAATTCACCCCCCCCCCTCCCCCTCACTTTGATAAATGCTTGCTACGCCACTAGCTCCTGTCAGAAGCAGAGTTGTCAAGACAACATTTTTAGGGAGTTATTTTTTAAAATTTTGCAGGCCCAAGGCCTACAAATACTCGACTAAGGGTGAGTGAGGAGATATGGTTAACAAAATATTATATAATTTCTATAAAATATATAGAAGATTGTATTGAATAATGTATGAAAAAGTTTGAATTTAAAATATAAGGTAGTTTTTCGCTTCACTCCCAGAATAAAAATAGTTAGTGGTGCTGTGCTTCTGTTTTGTTAGAGTTATTGGATAAAACATATGTATTTCAACAATTATAAAGATAGAGTGTCCTGAAATTTTTTTATCTGAGGTGCGGACTGTGAGGAAATTGTTTACTAAAACTAGACTTGTTTATTGGTAATTTCTTTTTAAATTTAATTATAAAATAAATAAATTAAACAAAATATTGTTTCTAAAAAATTTTCATTTATCATCGAAAGTGTTAAAATGTTGATGTGGGAGAAATTTTAAATTGCGGGAGATTTTTGCATGAATTGAGGGAGTTTTTGAGGTTGCGATGTGTGTGCGTGTTATGGAAAAATTTGCAGAAGACTCCTATAGCTGGGGGGGGGGCTGACAATAGGTCAGGTTTTTTTGCAACGGGTCTGGAGAAATATAATAACTAAACCGAATTTTATTTATCCAGCTCACAACAACTTTAAAAAATCTTAATTTAAGTAAAGAAAGCAATAATTTAATTTTTCCATAATTTTGTGAGTCTATCGAATCGATTATATTTATAATATAATGTAAAAATGTGTCTGAAATAAATGTGCAACAAAATTCAGTTTTTTTATTTTATTTTTTGTTATAAATATATCATTACAAATATATCTTACTTTCTTTCTAACTAAATGTAACCTCAAACAAACAAAAATTAAAGTTATTTTTAGTAACAATTTATCGATTTTTGTAATTTTATTTTATTATTTATAATCCTAAAAAAATAATATTTTAATAGATAAATCAAAATTTTCATTATAACTATAATACAAGGTTACCCCATTTCATTTATTATTAAATACTATTATTACAAAGTAGTGTAAAATAGCTTTATAAAACATTAAGCCGCACTTCCTAGTTCCATAATTTTTGTTCTTAATTCTTCTGAATTCTTCAGTATTAAGGCCTGGGCAGGTGTCATGACTAATCTTATTTCTTTTTAGGATTCTAAATAGCTTTCAGAATAAAAATTAAGACGAATATAGGAGGTGGACTAAATATTTATAAGATTCTTTTTGCGGAGGAATCTAAAGATCAATAATGTGTTTCTGACTGGGTTTTATTAGATTTAGAGTTTCCCAGCTTATATATAATTCCCAAGCGTATATTATACATCGATTAAACAGGTGCTTTATCGAAAGGAATGAACCAGTTCAAGTGCATCTTTAGTTCATTTCCATTGGTTTAAAATTTATTAATTAGTAAAAATTTAATCTACCAATACCGTTTTTCGAGCTTATTCAGATTTGATTGCTGATATCAAGGTTGATATCGGTTTATCCGATAATCAATATCAACATCAATATTAGTTGTGTTATAAAGTAAACTAGTTTTCTCTTAAGAATATAATAAAGTTTCATTTTAACAACAATAGTTACATTTTTTGGAATATAAGGACAAAAGTACTGTGCTACTTTTTAAAATATATTACTTTCATTATATTTATAGCATGCTAATTTTTTTATTAACGTTTTTCTAAATGTGTTCAATTTGTTGTATTTAGTATTTTAATAATAGATATTTTATCAGCGGCAAATTGATTTAGCCTCATTATTAAAGATGTTATTTCATCCTTCTAACGATTATACTTTTCTTTCTATCTTTCACCTATACTATATTCATTACCATCCAGGTGTAACAATTTAACTAGCAACCATTTAAAGTTCAGTATTCAGTTAGATCCAAAGTAAACAAAATTGGGTTGTCCCTTGATTTCAAACCAAGACATTTCAAATGATTCATTTCTGGCCTGGTAAATAAATTCGAATAGATTTTAAATGACAATCAAAAAAAAATGTACTCATGTAGCAAAACTCTACTGAAGGTTGATATCTTCTGGACATAAACCAGCACGATTTAATAAATAATAAATTAATCATAGCCTAATTCAAAAAATATTTCAAATGAAAAATAAATTAAAAATATGAGTGAATTTTTCAAATTAATGCTTAATAAATGTTAGTGTAATAGGCGTATTGCAAATTTGCCTGTTTTCATATATCATTTTAAGCTAATAAAAATTTGCCCCTTACTCCCCTATCCCCAAAAATGCATAAAAAAGGTAGAATTTAGAAAGAAAAATAAACAAAAGTTAATAACTTTTTAAAATACGGGCTATAATTCAAAATTATTAGCAAAAAAGTGAAAACTCAAAATTATTTTTATAAAAATCTAATATAGACAAAGGCCTACAATAAGTGGACCTAAAAAATCGTTAATAAAGTTCAGAGGGAAAACCCCCATTTATAGTGCTTGCCCAACCTTAATAAAATTTTGGATTCTAAACAAAACCTTATAAAAATTAAGTATATACAATTTTTTTTAGTCCACTTATTAAATATTATAAACTGTTAAAACCAGAGCCGAACCTACATTACCCCTCTTAGCATAGACTATACCTAATTTATAATTTATATTCGAACAGATTTCATAAATTAATAATTCAACTAACTATCATATTAGCCTTATTGTTTAATTTCGCTCAAAAATTACAAAATTTTTAATATTTAAAGCCATTTTTTTTAAATAGAAATCAATGAGGAAAAAAAAATTTTTTGAAAAAATGTGCATAAAAAAAATAATATCATAAAAATCAATGTTCATTTTATTTTATTATGCTAGATGACAATATGATGCGCAAATATTATAATTATACACTTCAATATTTGAAATAATAATTAATTTTTAAAATTCCATCATATTGATACCCCTTGTTTTGAGTGGAAGAAATTGTTTACTATATTCTAATAATTTTGAAATGAGAAAAGGAAAATATAATGCCTCTTTCCTATTGCTGATAATATGGCATAGCAATAGTAACAAGGATTGCGTAATTAGCAACCGTGGCCTGGTTCTATAGAGGCCTGTTTACAGAATTTTAGGGAGAGGGGTACAAAAAAATGTTTTTTTTATCTGAAACCTGCGGATAATACGGCACGGGACTATTAAAACACTACTTAATACATTTTATTAAGAAAACTATAGTAATTTCATGTAACATGACGTTTATCCATATTAAATATATATAAGTTAACCTAAACTAAACCCAAATTCAATTTTTTAAAGAAAGTAGAATAACCGACTTATTAAATATTTATATAGGGGAGCATAAATATTAACCTTTTTCAAGATTTTCCGCTTGAGATAAATGACTCTCGGAAGAAATCGTTCCGCTTCCGTCGCTCTTATTTTTGTCATGGGAAAATATTTGTTTAAAAGCTTGAATGTTCATTTTTTTGTGTTGTAAATATTATCATTTAACTAATGATTTTTATTATTGGATTTTAATTTTGTCATTTTATGATGAACGAACTGAATAAAGAATTGATCATGGACTTGGAATGAATATATTATTTATAACAAGGCATTTTAATAACTGTGAGGATAATATATTTTTGAGAACCCATTTTAAATTTTGATTTACGCTTTTTGTATAGGGATAAATTAATTCGCGTTAAAGTAACATAGAAGGCCAAGTTCGTGCGTTGTGGAATATAATCCTTATTTTATAATTTTGTTGGCGCGGTGCTTCAAATGCAAGTTTTTACCGACAGATTATATGGGGTATCGAGGATTTGAAATTTAGGGGAAGGTTATGAAAGTTGAGAACAAATGTTTTTTTAAAAAAAACAATTTTACGCATTAATTATTAAAACAAATAGACAAATAAGTATAATATTTAATTATTATTATTTTTAAATAATCATTTTTTAAAAAATTATATATATAATCAATTCAAGTTTTTATTGGTTTTGGTATAGTTACAACAAAATAATCATTATTAAAAATAATCAATAAATTTATATATCTGGAATGAAGCTAATAAACAAGCTAACTAGGATATAAAATGTAGGATTAATATTAGTAAACATTTTATAAAAACATCCTTTTCTTATTTCCAATCATTATTTTTTTAGTTTAATATTTAAAATACCAATTTGTTATAAATTTATTTATTTAATTTTTTTATTATCTTATTTATTGATAGCCACCCGAAAGTATGAATATAAATTATTATTAACTATTATCTTTTGAAAAACCAGAAATTGAATTGAAAATTAGGTAATAATTATTTTATTGACATTATATAAAAAATCATATTTAAATTAGAGGGAAAATGTAAACACATAATTGGTAGAGGTGAAATTTATTTATCATTTTATTTATTTTATTATATTATATTTTAAAAAAGGGTAAACTTACCTTTACCTGGAGGAAAGAAAATTATTTTTTTTTTAAACATTAGTGTTTATTTAAAAAAATATTTTTATTTATTTTCAAGGAAGAAGATTTGATAATTTTAGTCGACCTTCCAAATATTACGAAAATCAAATGTATCCTTTGAAATTTTATTTTAGAAATGAAATACAAATTTGGATCTTTTTCAAAAAATCTCCATTTTAAACTTTAATACCCGGAGAACCCATTAGGGCTTGCTTGCTAAAAAGATCTAACGCATTGAATTGGTACTATTTAATTGGCTATATATTCTAGCTTTTAATTAGGCCAGGCGGACATTTTTAGAAAAGAATCATTTTATTGGGCCCTCCTAAATTTTAAATTTCTATTATCCGATTCTCATATTTTATTTACCTAGAGCACTTTTAAACTACTACACTTCTCCATTTTGTTTTTCTAGATCGAGATAACCGCCAAATCTTATTCTATTTATTTTTAAAATATAATTTGCGAAATTACTCGGAATTAAATTTATTGGTACAGTTTAAAGAAAAATAGTATAAGTACAAAATAATATTTTTCAATATGAAATCCGTATTTTTATACTTTCTTAAGGACAGGGATGTAGAAATCCAAAATCGTATAAAAATTTGTTTACTTATTATTTTCAAGCTACATCTTTAAAAATACGAAAATATTAAATTCTTATCTCTTACAACTTTCCAAATAAGATTACCTATTCTTTAAAAAAAAATCAATCTCCTGCAAAATTGGGAAATAAGGAGATAGAACACTATAATTGTAATCCTCTACCGACCAATTATTTCCGAATTCGTGATGCCCGTGGGCCTAAATTTTATTTTAAAAATTAATATTTTGGATTGGACACACATTCTATATTTTCCAAGAAAGCCGCATAAATTTTATTGTGAATTTAACCATTTAAGGCAAACAGGTAAGAAATATATCGGCGTTAGCGTCAATGTGTTTTTTTTTCAGTCAATATATTATTTAATTTTAAATCATTGTTTGGGCGCGTTTTTTATATCCTAAAATAATATGATTTTGCCGGAAATGTATTCCAGCATGTATTAGAAAAGCTACTCTCAGATTTGTAGAAAATTTTGCCATGAAATTTATAAACTTAATATAATATAATTTTTAGTAGAAAAGCTACTCTCAGATTTGTAGAAAATTTTGCCATGAAATTTATAAACTTAATATAATATAATTTTTAGTTTTTTCATATATTTTTTTATATAAATTATACGAGAAAATTACTGACAACATTGTTCCAAATACGTAGAATAGGTATTCTAGACATATTGGAATATATTTTCGATAAAATTGGATTTTTAAAATTTTTAAAAAATGCGTTCAGGAAATAATTTAAAATCAAAAAAATAAAAATTCGGCCAAAAATGTGGGATTGATGCGTTTCTGAGATAGGACAGCCAAGATCAACACTTTAGAATAAAGACTCACGTGCCCTGTAAAAGGATAATTTAAGTGAGCCTTGGATTAAAAACATTTTTAGTATTATATTATTTATTATAATTTATTAAATCAAAAATTATTGTTGACGGAATTGACAAAAAAAGAAGTCGCCTTTTTCCTGTTCCGCATAGAAAAAATAATTAACATCAAAAAACACTGTTTAAATTATTATTTAAAAAAATTGTTTCCTTCGAAAAATAATAAATTTATTTACAAAGCACCCTATTTTGGTTTGTTTTAAGTATATAGTGACATTGTAATTTTCGTATTTTATTTTCGTTTTTTTTATTATGTTTTGTTTGATTTTTTTTAAAAAATATTTTTTGCTTTTTAGGCTGTTTAATAATAAGTCGACCTAGGACACGGCTTTACAGCTTTATTTTTTAGCAAAAATTGATTTCTTCCATACATTAAATAACATTAAATATGCCTAATTTGAATATTAAATTATAAAGGTAGAGTTAAAATTAAGCGGTTAAGCTAGATTTACAATGGAAGGTCACAACGACATGACCAACGCCGCACCACATTAAGCGACATAACAGCAGATTTATCGTAAATTTAAATTTTAAAATAAAAATTAAAGAACGTGGGCTTAAATTTAAAAGTTCAGAGATATAGGTTATGATTTCTGTATATCACACTTCTTACTATCTTAATATTTAAATTTAACTACATGAATTATTTTCATCCATAATAATTTAAGAATTTTTATATAAATTTAATAATGATAGAAAAATTTACATCATCGAACAATAATATCTTTTCATATCATAATATTCATATTATTTATTATTATTTAATTCCAACCAATCTATCTATTAGAAATTATGCAAGGCTACGACATGCCACCTCTTTATGGGCAAGAGCAGGCGCGTACGCAGGAATTTGGTCTGGGGGGGGGATAATAATTTTTTAAGAAATATTATTGTTTTTTAAAAATATCAAGCATAAATTTATTAGGACTAATAACTATTTCTAATACACAATTTTAAATTTATGTGAATTATAAAAAAAATATATTTAAAGAATCACTTAAATGACCCAAAATAGAAATTTGAATTTTTTGAGCCTTTACACAAAAAGTTTCTTAGGAATAATTGCATTTTGTATGTTATATATTTACAATGTAAAATCCAATCTTCATTGTGATTGAGCTAATTTTTAAATTATCTCATCCTTGCTTGTCGTCAAATGCCTATGAATATTCAAAAGATCCAAACCTTTCAATCTACTTTCAGATGTTGTACTTCTTGGTATGTTTTTCAGAGACCTGCAGGCTCGGCCCCCGGGCTGGACAGTATTTTAATTTTTTTAAATATACTCGGGCCGGGCCCGAAATTTTTAAAAAAAAACACCCAAGCCTGGCTGTATTTTTTAAAACAGCCTATATTTGAAATCGTTATTATTAGCTATAAAAATCAAAAATAAATATAATTTATTTTTAAAAAAGCCGGGCCGGGCCTGAAAATTTTTAAAAAGAAACCCAGGCCGGGCTGTAAAAAATCTTTAAATAAAATCCGGGCCGTGCCCTGCAAATGGTACTTCTGCAGGCCTCTGTTATTCTTCTTAAAAAAGAGAATGTTCTCTCATTAGTTTAATGGGAAGAGTTTATAAACCCTTTTAATACATTGGGAATTTAATCTAAAATGTGTTTGAAATAATGCAGAGCATCCATAGCATTTTTTGGAACTATATCAACCATAGTTAATCTTATAAACATAGTTACTCAGCTAGCAAGGCATCATAAGATACTTTAACATCTTCATAATAAAAATCTAACAAATATTTTTTTTTTATCACCATCTGAAAAAGTTGGTAAGGCTTTTGGGGAAGTAATATCTGCAGATTGGTAAGTGCTGCATGATGAATTAAAAACCATTCATTTATTTGGGTTATAAATGTATCTGTATTTAAGATATACTCTTCTACTGATCCCATATTAATGTTTTAACGATGAGCTTGCCTTGCTACAAGTCGAAGGAGACAAATATTACACACGTATAGCTCTGCTTTTGACTCAACAATAAAATATAAAATATGAAATTCTTCATCAACATTATCCCTAATTTCCTTGAGTTCTGATAAAATGCTCTCCGCTATTCTCATCTTCTTATTCAAGTCAATGTCATGTTTTTGAAAAGTAATACTTAAAATAGTTGTATAATTAAATAATACATTCTAATAAGAAATAAAATTTGGAATAAGCATTAAATCCAATAATTTTCTTGCTTCTGAGGAAATATTTCTTTCAGGCCATTGTGATATTTCAGTAATAGCAAATAATTGGCTCTTCTAACTCCTTAAAAGCTGTTACTGCTTGATGGCAGAGACTCTATCTCGTTGGACAAGGTTGAAATTTCTTTTTCCCTGTTGGACAATAAGTTTCAGAAATAATTATTATTTGACTAGAAATTTGAAAATGGTAGATAAATATTACGCCACTAAAAATTTGAAAATAATAAGTAAATATTATGCCGGAAAACTTGAAATCGAAATTAATTGATAAAATAACTTAGTAGATAAATGTGATAATATATGTAATTAAATATATATTTAATATGAGATACGAATAAATATTAACAAATATAAATTAATATAAACAATAATATTTTTGAAAAATATATCCGGCATCTGCATTTCTTGGCTTTGGGGGGGGGAATTTGTCCCCCTGCCCCCCCCCCCCCCGCTGCGTACGCCAATGGGCAAGAGACATTCATCAAAAAAAATATTATTTACTATATATATAATATCTGTTAAGTATTTAAACAATAGAATCGTATGTTATACACAAAACTGAGTTTTTCCAGACCATATTTATTGCATTTACGGCGGGTAGTATTAATAATGAGAATAGTATCGTCCTTCGGCGTCAATAAAATATTTGTCGCGCTACCATCAATAAAGTAAGATGAAAAGGTCAATAATCATAATATGTTGTTCCCAAACTCTAGCTAAAC